GAGGCTGAGGCAGGGAGGTGGGCAGCCTAGTCCTTGCCTGACACTCTGGTTCCAAAAACAAGAACACCAACAAAGAACAAGACAAAATCCAGAAAAACAGATAAACAAAACCCACTATATACTATGTGACCCAGTGACTCTATTCTGAAATGGCAGCCTGACTGGTGGTTAGTTACTTTTTTGTTTTGCTTTTTGACACAGGGTTTCTTTGTGTGGCCCTGGATGTCCTGGAACTCAGTCTGTAGACCAGGCTGGCCTCGAACTCACAGAGATCTGCCTGCCTCTGCCTCCGGAGAGCTGGGGTTAAAGGCGTGCGCCACCATTGCCCAGCCTGACTGGTGGTTAGAATGAGAATGGCTCCCAGAGGCTCATGTGTTTGAATTCTTGATCTCCAGCTGGTGGAACTGTTTGGGAAGGATTAGGAGTATGGCCTTGTTGGAGGAGGTGTGTTATTGGGGGTGGGCTTTGAGGTTCCAAAAATCCATGCCATTCCTAATGTGCTCTGTTTCCTGATGAAGATGTGAGCTCTGAGCAGCTGCTTCAGCACCACGCCAGCATGCTTGCTGCCATGCTCCTACCCTAACCCATGATGGCTGGACTCCTATCCCTCTGGAACTGTAAGCCCCAATAAAACCTTACTTTTACAAGCTGCCTTGGCCATGGTATTTTGTCACAGCACTAGAGAAGTAACCAAGACACTGAGAAGCCAAAATATATGTGCACACTTCAGATGTCTGTCTTGTTTTGCATGTGTGTGGGTGTAGGGCATGTGTTTGTGCTTTCCTGTGATGTCTAAGGTTGACATGTCCAGTGTCTTACTGGATCGCTCTCCACCTTGTGTTTTGGGACAGTGCTCTCACTGTGCTGAGAGCTCATTGTTTTGGCTAGCCAGACCAACCAGCTTGCTCTGGGCATTCCCTGTCTCTTCCATTGCCTGCTTGCTGAGATTTCTTTTATATGGATTCTAGAAATTGGATCTCTGTCTTTCCTTCACCTTCCATGGCAAGTGCTTTACCTGCTGAGCCATTTTTCCTTGTTCTCTCTATTGACTTTTAATTGTGAGTGACTTTTCACTCAGAGTGTCATTGTGTAGCTCTGGATGGCCTGGAATTGCTATGTAGATCATGGATGCCTTGAATTCACAAGAACTCTACCGGCTCCCCAATTTGCCTTTTTTTGTTTTGTTGATTTTTTCCACATCATCCTGGGCCAGGCCTAGGCCCTCCCCCATGTGTCCAGGTGGAGAGTGCATCCCTTCACGTGGGATGGGCTCTCAAACTCCCTTCTTACACTGGGGAAAAATACTAATCCACCACCAGGGGCCTCCTAGAGTACAGATACCTCCTTATTGACATCCATGTTCAGTGGTCTGGATCAGTCCTATATTGGCATCGCAGACAGCATCTCGGGTCGATGTGCTCCCCCTTGTTCAGGCCAACTGGTTCTGTGGGTTTCTCCAACCTGGAACTGACCCCTTCGATCTTCATTCCTCCCTCTCTTCAACTAAGTTCCAGATTTCAGCTCAGTGTATTTCTGTGGATGTCTGTCTCTGCTTCCATCAGCCACTGGATGAGGGCTCTAGTTGCGGATTGGTCAGCCTTGTTTTGTTGATTTTTTGAGATGGGGTTTCTCTGTGTAGTCCTGGCTGTCCTGGAACTCTCTCTGTAGACCAGGCTGGGCTTGAACTCAGAGATCTGCCTGCCTCTGCCTCTCTGAGTGCTGGAATTAAAGGCGTGTGCCACAATGCTCTTGCCTTTTTGATTTTTTTTAAAGTTACAGAAAGTTGGGCCTAGCCGTGGTGGCACATGCCTTTAATCCCAGCATTCAGGAGACACAGGCAGGCAGATCTCTGTGAGTTCAAGGCCAGCCTGGTTTACAGAGTTAAGTAGCCACCAGGATACCCAGGCATTCTCAGGTAAGATAAGACCACGTGGAGATACACAGATTAATAGAAATGGGTTAATAATTAAGAGACAGCTAGCCAATAAGAAGCCTAAGCAATAGGCCAATCAGTTTATAATTAATATAAGCCTCTGTGTGTTTATTTGGGACTAAACGGCTGTAGGACTGGGCAGAACAGAAACTTCCATCAATAATAAGAATTGATAGCATAAAATATCAGTATCCTGGGAGCTGGAGAGATGGATCATTGGTTAAGAGCACTGGCTGCTCTTCCAGAGGTCCTGAGTTCAATTCCCAGCAACCACAACCATCTGTGATGAGATCTGGTGCCCTCTTCTGTCATGTAGGCTTACATGCAGGCAGAACACTGTGTACATAATAAATCTTTAAAAAAAAAATCAGTATCTGAATTTGAGTAACCTTCCTTCTTTTGGATCAAGTCAGGTTTAGCTTACCACTCTTCAAACTCACCTGTTGTCTCTGCAGCTGACCCCTGCTCACATGTAGGTCTAGAACTGCAAACGAGAAGGGGGCCGCTCTGCATCTTCCCTATCCTTTAACACTCCCCATTCTTCATCTTTAATGCCTCATTAACTGTTTTTGCTGCTGGACAGTAACCACCAAGGGTAGAGACTGGGCCTGCTGCTCTTCATTACCCACTCACCACCGTGCCTCAGTGTCTTGCACAGGGCTCAGTGTGTAGGAAATGCCTGCGAATGCTTGCCTAGTGAAAGGATGAGAGTGAGGCTAGCCCATGCCCAAGCACAGGGTGTGTGTGTAGACAGAAGACTGGAGGAGTCTAGGTTTCTGAGGCCCTTTGATCAGGTCCCCAGGCTGGAATTAACATGTTGCCTCTCTTCCAAATCAGA